TTAAAGGGGGGGAGGGGTCTGTGGGCGCGGCCTCGGCGGTTCTATCGCGGTTCGGCGCGGTTTTATCGCGATAAGCCGCGAGAAACGGCGTGGTTTGCGGGAAAAGCGGGCGTGGCCTCGCTGAGGGGACGGGGTTTGATTGACGTTTCCGCCCCTCCCCCTCCAGCCGAATCTCAGGCGCGATCGCTCCGCCCCTTGCCCCGCCCCCCGCAGCGCATTGGCCAATGGCGTGAGAGGTCAGTAAAGGGGGCGTGGCTTCGCTAAAGGGCGGGGCCTCCTGAGGGGAATTGGCGGGAAATTAAAGAACAGGGGGCTTTTTCTTTGCATTTTGGCGGGAAATTTGTAAAGATTTGGCGGGAAATTCCGGGCTTTTCCTTCGATTTTGGGGTTTTTTCCTTCAATTTTGGGGATTTTCCTGAATTTTGGGTGGAATTTTGTGATTTTGAGGGAATTTTGGGGCTTTTTCCTGAAATTTTGGGGTTTTCCCTTAAATTTGGGATTTTTCCTGAATTTTGGTGGAAATTTCTGGATTTCGGATGAAATTTTGGGGCTTTTCCCAGGATTTTGGGTTTTTTCCCAAAATTTGGGATTTTTCCCTGGATTTGGGGGATCCTGGATGGATTTTGAGGGAATTTGGGGTGATTTTCTTTGGATTTTGGGGTTTATTCATTAAATTTTGGGTTTTTTCCTGAAATTTTGGGATTTTTCCCTGAATTTTGGAGGAAGTTTCGTGATTTTGGGTGGAATTTTGGGAAATTTTCCAGGATTTTGGGGTTTTTTTCCCAAAATTTGCGATTTTTCCCTGGATTTGGGAAACCCTGAATAAATTCTGAGGGAATTTTGGGGGGATTTTCCTGAAATTTTGGCTTTTTTTCCCTGAATTTTGGAATATTGGGTGAAATTTCGGGGTTTTCCCAGGATTTCGTCTTTTTTCCCAAAATTTGGGATTTTCTCCGGAATTTTGGGAGGAATTTTGACATTTTTGGTTGAATTTGGGGAGATTTTCCCGGGATTTTGGGAATTTGGGGCGGAATTTTGAGGTTTTCCCCAAAATTTGTGATTTTTCCCTGAATTTTGAAATCCTGAACGCATTTTGGGTGGAATTTCCTGGATTTTCGTGAAAATTTTGGGATTTCCCCTTAAATTTTAATTCTTTTTCCCCCCAAATCGCGAAAATTCCCAAAACTTTGGGGGATTTTCCCTAAAATTCGGGATTTCCGGAGAAATTTGGCTCAAATTTGGGTCAAAATCGGGGAATTTTGAGTCAAATTAATTCAGATTTTCCCCCTTTTTTTCCCCCAAATTTTTGGGGTTTTTTTCCTCAAAATTTTGGGATTTTTTTCCCAAATTTTGGGTTTTTTTGGGGGGAATTTTGTGGTTTTTTGGGAATTTTGGATTCCCAGCTGGATTTTGGGGTGAAATTCCCAAATTTTGGGGTTTTTTTGGCAGTTTTGGGCTCTCCCCGAGCCCCTCTGGGCCCGGCCCCCTCCGGGACCTCCCGGATTGGAGCTTCGCAGGTAACGGGAAAAAAACGGGAATTTTGGGGGAAATTCGGGGGATTTTGGGAAAATTTGGGGAGTTTGGGGAAAATTTGGGGAATTTTTGGGGAAATTTGTGAATTCTGGGGGGAAAAATTGGGATTTTGGGCAAATTCAGGGAAATTTTGGGAAAAATTTGAGAATTTTGGGGGAAATTTGGGGGATTTTGGGAAAATTTGGGGAATTTTGGGGGAAAAATGGGAATTTTGGGGGATTTTGGGGAGATTTGGGTGAAAAATTGGGATTTTGGGGGAATTTGGGGGAAATTTGGAAAATTTGGGGGAATATTCGAGAATTTTGGGTGAAATTTGGGGGATTTGGGGAAAATTTGGCAATTTTTAGAGGGAAAAAAGGAAATTTTGGGGAAAATTTGGGAATTTGGGGGGAAAATCTGGGAATTTTGGGGGCGAGGGGAAAAAAATCAGGAATTTGGGGAGAAATCCTGGAATTTTGGGGGGGAAATTTTTGGTGAAAATTTGGGAATTTTGGGTGGCGGGGGGGAATTGGGGAATGAAGCGGGGAATTTTGGCGGGAAAAAGGGGGAATTTTGGCGGGAAAAAGGGTGAATTTGGCGGGAAAACGGGAATTTGGCGGGAAAAAGGGGGGAATTTGGCGGGAAAAAGGGTGAATTTGGCGGGAAAACAGGGATCTTTGCGGGGAAAAAGGGGGAATTTGGCGGGAAAACGGGAATTTTGGCGGGAAAAAGGGGGGAATTTCGCGGGAAAACGGGAATTTTGGCGGGGAACACCGGGAATTTTGGCGGGAAAAAGGGGGAATTTTGGCGGGAAAACGGGAATTTTGGCGAGAAAAAGGGGGAATTTGGCGGGGAACACCGGGAATTTTTGGGGATAAAAAGGGGGAATTCGGGGATTTTGGGGAATTCTGGGATGCGGATCCGGCCCCTCCCCCTTCCCTGCAGACGGGCGCCCCTCCCCCCCCTGGCGGGGGCAGCTGCGGCGGCTCCGGGAGCAGCGAGAGCTGGCGGTGAGTGACCAAAACCGGATCGGACCGGATCGGGGCGGTTCGGGGCGGTTCGGGGCGGTTTGGGGCGGTTTGGAACCAAAATTGCCGGAAAAAAATAAAAAAAATAAAAATAATAAAAAAAAAAAAATTCCCCCCCCAAAAATCGCCGAAAATTCCTAAAAATTCCTCAAAAAAAAAAAAAACCCCAAAAAATTCTCCCAAAAAAAGTTCCCAAAAATTCCTGAAAAAGTTCCCAAAAAATTCCCTAAAAAGTTCCCAGAAATTCTAAAAAAATTCCCGAAAATGCCCCAAAAAATTCCCAAAAAATTAAAAAAAAATCCCCAAAAAATTAAAAAAAAATCCCCAAAAATTCCCAAAAAATCCCCCAAAATATCCCCAAAAAATTCCCCAAAAATAAAAAAAAAATCCCCCAAAAAATTCCCGAAAATGCCCCAAAAAATTCCCAAAAAATTAAAAAAAATCCAAAAAAAAAACCCCAAAAAATCAAAAAAAATCCCCAACAAATTTCCCGAAAATGCCCCAAAAAATTAAAAAAAAAACCCCAAAAATTTCCCAAAAAAGTCTCAAAAAAATCCCAGAAAAATTCTCAAAAAATCCCCCAAAAAAAATCCCTAAAAAAATCCCCAAGAACAAATCCCAAAAATTTCACAAAAATGCCCCAAAAAAATTCCTCAAAAATCCCCAAAAAAATCACAAAAAAAATCCCTAAAAATTCCCAAAAATTCTCAAAAAATCCCCAAAAAATCCCTCCAAAGAAAACCCAAAAATTTCACAAAAATGCCCCAAAAAAATTCCTCAAAAATTCAAAAAAAATCCCAAAAAACCCCAAAAAAATTCCCAAAAAATCTCAAAAAAATTCCCAAAAATCCCCTCCAAAAATCCCAAAAATTTCACAAAAATGCCCCAAAAAAATTCCACAAAAATTCTAAAAAAATCTCAAAAAAAATCCAAAAAAATTATTAAAAAATCCCAAAAAATCCCAAAAAAATCCCAAAAAATTCCCCCCAAAATATTCCCAAAAAATCTCAAAAAAAATCCCAAAAAATTAATAAAAAATCCCAAAAAATCCCAAAAAGATCCCAAAAAATTCCTGAAAATGCCCCAAAAAATTAAAAAAAAACCCCCCAAAATTCCAAAAAAAATCTCAAAAAAATCCCAGAAAAATCCCCAAAAAATCTCAAAAAAAATCCCAAAAATCCCCTTCAAAAATCCCAAAAATTTCACAAAAGTGCCCCCAAAAAATTCCTCAAAAATTCCAAAAAAATCACAAAAAACGCCAAAAAAAATCCCAAAAAATTCCCAAAAAAAAAACCTCCCGCTAAAAAAAATCCCCTCCCAGTCCAAACCAGTATAAACCAGTATAAACCAGTATAAACCAGTATAAACCAGTAACTCCCAGTTCCCACCAGTGCCGGGCCCTGGCTCTCAGCCGCTCCCTGGAGGCCGCCAAGGGAACCCCGAAGGCTCCCAGTACAAACCAGTAAGGAGAGGTG